GGGGGGGGGGGGTGTGTGTGAGGGTCGGGTGCGCGACGCGGAATGGCTTCATTTCATTCCACATGTGTGTGTAAATGTGTGCAGGTGCTGGAGTGTCTGCAACTCGATCAGCTGTCTGAGGCACTGTCTAGGGGCGGCAGCAACAGGCCGCTGGAGGAAACGGCTGCCAGTCTGCACAGAGAGGCCAAGCTAATCAAGGGCGACGAGACGCGTCAGACACTCTGCTCGCGCTACTTGTGGTACACAATGGTGTATGCCCTTGAAGCCATTGTCAGGCAGATAGAGGTCCGTTTCATGCACAAGCGCGTACACACTTATCTGCAGGGCTGGCTGTCTGTCCTTACTCCGCCTGTCTGGCTGCCTCTATGCTGGTAGGCTGACGGTGTGGCTTTCGTCAGAACGATGCAAGACATCCGCCGCCGCATACAAGATCAGGACTTTTCGGGCGCAGCTGACGCCATTCTGCCGCCCCTGCCGTTCGCAGGCGACAGAACGGCAGGCGACAACTTCAATGACTTTGCCCGCCAGGTGGTGGTCGCTCTGGTGCAACAAGGGCCGCCCGACTTCTCATACCTGGAGCCTCATCTGCAGACATATATGACCGGCTTCGCCCCAAGCGACCGGCTTCTAGACCTACAATGGTTCTTCCGTCTCCATCAAGGTCCCCTGAAGTCGCCGTCGCAACACGACACAGAGGACTCTTTTTACTTCGAATGGCATGTGACGTATCGCGACTACTTGCACCAGTGCGGCAGCACGGCCGCCACGGGCGGTCGGCGGCACGGCAGCTTCACTGTGAGTGGCGCGCCGGTCATCAACGGCACCTACCTGCTCCGCCCGACAGAGCAAGAGCAGGAGACGCTACTCTATATTCATCCGGAGGCTGTCGCGTATGTGGGCGAGGACCTGGCATTCGAGCGGCTGGTGTACCCGCAAGCGGATGGCAGCATGGGAGGCTTCTGGATCGCCTGCACTCCGGATTTTGGCGACACAATCGGGCCCCTCTGTGCCTTCGCCCCATTCAAGAATGACGCTGTGAGCGGCTATAATCCTCTGCTCAGCCACCCCGCTGCGGCCAACCCCGCCTTCGAGACCAGCGAGTGGTTCACTGCCGACCAAGAGGGACGCATCAGCAGACTGGATGGCGTCAAGATGTCTTCCACTCTCCCGCTGACCTTCGATGTCCCCCGATCCGTCATTCCAGGCGTATCGAAGGTGGAAGGCACGGTGGAGGTCGATGTGTATCCGCGGGCCGACACAGCTGAGCCGCTGGCGTGCGAGTCGCTGGATGACTACTACACCCATCATCTGGCCAAGCTGGAGGTCAGCAAGGGAGCCGCCTTTCCCATGGCCTTCTATCTCGACGCCAACGTCATGGAGCAGCTGCCCCGATCGGCACGGCACACGGAGCGGCTCACGGGTGCAGGCCAGTCACCTGCAGGTTATACATCCGTGAGCACCGCCGAGACCATGGTGATCAAGAGAGGAATGGTCCGCCTGGCGGAGGAGTACGTCACCAAAGCCTTTACCGAGTGGCCCTTTGCCGCCGTGGTTGCCCTGTTGGCGACCGGATGGGAGGCGGCAGGGGGGCTGGTGTGCGTCCTGCGGGCCGAGTCGAGGACACAGACATGTTCTCGGTGCGGCAAGCCGTGTGCGGGCAGCTCAGGGGGCCCCGTGGATACCATTCCTCTGGTGCACACGCTCACCTGTGATGACCTCATGGACGATGCCATGATCGAGGAACACAAAAAGTACATCCGCGGCGCCGGAGCGGAGCTGTGTGTGTGGGGCGCTGGTGGGAGACCGACGTGTGGTGCCTGCCAGCTGGATTGTGTCGAGTCGTTGGCGAAGGAGCCGTCGAGGTGAGGTGTGCGATATATGCAAACAGAAAGGCACCCACCCAGCCAGCCACGGACTCACATATGAATGAATGAATGGCCACTGTCATGTGTGTCTAGGCCTGCTACTCCGGCGGATGTGCTGGACGTTTTCTCACGCCTCATGTCGTCCCCTTCTGAGACGGAGGCAGTCCCCACGCCCCAACCCAAGAGCGCGTCGAGTAGCAGCACCCCCTCCCGAGCTTCCCCGGCTGCCCCTGGGAGCATCTTCCGCGGCATCTTCACGCCCAAGGACAAGACGACCAAACCCAAACCGCCCAAATCGACGCCCTTCACTCCGCAGCCCAAGCCGACGTCCACCCAGCCACCTACCACCGCCCAGCACCACCACACCATCACAGTTGAGTCCATTCGTTCGGCCTTTCCCGACATTGCCACCGTCAGGTCGGCCACAGAGGGCGACAAACAGCCCCCGAGTGAGACGCTGGCCGTCGTGAAGGCCTTCCTGCAGTGTAGGGGAGGGGCGACGGAGGGCGGCGGTGAGTCGAGTCAGTGTGATGCGACCCAGGAGCGGGAGACTTACCTGCGGGCCGTCAAGAAGTTCTTCATGGACCACCGCACAGCGCTGCAAAGGTCACCCAACAGAATGGGCATCTCAACCACTGGGTAATTTGAGTGTCATGCGCTGTTTGTGTGTGTGCAGCGATCCGTCGGCGGTGTTTCCGTTGGGTCCGCTGCGGCATGTGCGTGGCGAGTGGCTGCCCCAGTGGCACACGACATTCGTCAGTGAGCTCAGCAAAGGCCAGCAGCTCATGCAGAAGGAACTCGGGGCCGCCACTACCAGGGGCCCTACCGACGGCAACAAGTGAGCCGCAGGGAGGGGCAAGGGCAGTTATGGAATCGTACTGGATGGTCTCGTTTGTTTGTTTGGTGTCGTCTGATCGCTTCCCTTTCGCGCAGTGCGTCAGCCACGGCCATTGCGGCGGATGACATGGGCTCAGGTGAGTCGTCGCCCCTCCCGTCGCCCACCGCGCATCGCGTATCTCCACAGATGGCTGGAGAGGCGTTTCCCAGGTGAGACTCGTCCGTCCATCCATAGCCGCACAGCACACAGGAACACTTAGTTGTGCGCTGTATCTACATGCATGTTTTTGTCTGCAGTGTGATGCGCTTGCCGTATGGTGGACGCGCGAGCACTGGGGGCGCCCGTGATGCGGGCAAAGAGGTGGCAGACAAGTGTGCCAGACTGGAGAAGCAGCTCGCTACGGCAGAGGAACAAGTCAAGACGGCCGTGGACGCACACACAACGGAGAAGAATGAGCTCAACCAGAACATCGAACGACTCCAAGACGATGTCAAAAGGTGGTCCGACAGAGAGAGTGGGAGAGGGACGGAGGGAGGGAGCTGGTCGGGGTGCAATCCATTCCATATTCCTCTCTGTGTGGGAGGGAATGTGTGTGTGCAGGTTGACCGATGAGTTGTCGGCGTCGAAGAGAACGGCCAAGAAGGAGAGAAAGGCCGCCGATGCGCAGCGCAGCACACTCGAGGACCTCATCAAAGACAAAGACAAAGAAATCAAACAGGCGCAAAAGACGTGAGCGCACACCAGCACACACTGACACGCCCATTCACCATCCCTTGTGTCCCCCCCTCCCCATTTGGTGTGTGTGCAGTGCCGACGATCGCGTGCGTCGAGTGAGCCAGCAGGTGCGTGAGGAGGCCGACAAGGCCGCCAAGACACACATGGACACCGTCACCAAGCAGCACGAAGAGGAGCTGGACCGACTGCGTGGCGAGCACCGGTCGGCCATTTTGGAGGTGAGGGCGCAGCACCGGACGGCCATCGAGCAGCGAGAGACAGAGGTGCGGTGCGAGGCTGAGAGGGCCCTGGGCGACATGACGCGCGAGAGGGATCAGCTGAGGCAACGACTGAGGGAAGAACGACTCAGGTGAGGGGAAGGAGAGGACATGCAATCCGCCGACAGCTGCTGTCATATCACTCCGTTGTGTGTTGTGTGTTGATGTGTGTGTGCAGGTCAGCTCGTGTAGATCAGGAGAAGGACACCGAGCTGCGTCGGCTGCGCGAGGCGGAGGCGCCGCTGAGGCGGGAGAACCTCATGCTCAAACAGCAGCTGTCGGCACAGCCACCACACAGGTCAGCAACCAACCACACACACACACATACACATCAACAGCAGCTGTGCACACGCCGCCATATGTGGTGCAGTCGTCTCAGTGGGGATGGTGTGTCGTCGATGGAGCTGCCTTCGGTGCGTCAGCTGCTCGATGACCTCGTCTCGGAGCAGGGCCGTCTCACCCAGCTGCACCAGACCGCCATCGAGCGACAGATACAGCTACTCCACCACCCGCAGTCCAGCCATGCATCCTCATCGTCGTCAGCAGCAGCAGCTGCAAATCCCCCAAACCACACCACCGCCCCCTCTGTGCCCCTCTCCCTCTCCATGGATGACGCCAATGCCTCACCAGCGGCAGCAGCGGCCGGCGGCAGCAGCTCGGCCCAGAGAAATGCGCCGTGTGCTGCGTCATCGTCCAGCAGTGGTGGCGGTGGTGGTGGGTCGAGTGCGGCCAGGTGTTCTGTGTGTCTGGTCAACCCGACTAACGTCATCTTGCTGCCGTGCGGCCACAAGGTGAGTGAGTCGGGGGGGAGAGGGCAGCGCATCCAGGTGCATGTCTGTGTCGTGCGTGTGTGTGTGTGTGTCAGGTGGTGTGTCAGGATTGTTTTGAGAAGTGGATGGCCCCCATGCCGGCACAAGACAAACTCTGCCCCGAACACACGTACGTCAGTCAGCGAGCAGGGTCATTTGCCTCACTGAGACACGCAGCCAGGGCTGTCCATTGGGGTGTGTATGTGTCTGTGCTGTGTGCCATGCGTCAGGTGTCGCCAGCCCTACTTCGAGGTGAAATACGTTTTTTGAGTGAGTGAGCGGTGCGTTTGCGTATTCCATGAGTATGTGAGTGACATTTATGAGAAGAGGGAACGAATGTCGATGTGACGCAACGGGCGAGCGAGACATCCATGCGTTCACCGGTCCATACGCCGCAGTGTGCGTTAGGATGTAAGTGAGTGTGTAGAGTAGGTCGGTCGACCATGTGTGGGAGATATGTCCTATACACTATCGTGGACGCTCGAAGCTCGCAGATCTTCCGTTGAAAGCCGTTGATGCTGTGTGATATGGAGCTGGCTGTGAAGCCTAGACACGCGGCTACATCGCCTCAGCTGGACAGAGAAGGAACGGTTCCCCAACCACGGCGACACTCCGAAGAGGCCAAACGGGCAATCCATGCCACAGCACCGCCGTCGGTGGATGGGGAGGCTCCGCAGCTGAGTGAGGTGCAGCGGCTGGTGGAGGGAGACCTTCACGCCCTCAGAGACGAATGGCCCCAGATGTACACACCGCGAGAAAGGCCATTCCCCATACCACCGGGCAGTTCCGTGTTTTCGTGTGGTTTCGTGTGTGTCAGGGGGCTGTCATGGGAGCGTGAGCCTCCCACAACGTCTCCAACGCTCGACAGCCAAGAAGAAGTCACGCAGCAGCCTGATGGCGATGCCCACGCAGAGCCCGGCCCGGCGGGTGATGACTCAGCGGTCTGGTTCTACGCATACAAGCTGACAATAGGTACACTCATCGCAATGACGATGGTGCCTCAGTCGGACGGGAGACGGTGCGTTGTGTGTTTGTGTGCAGCTGTGGCGCCGTTGTCCCTCTATTCTGTGAGTGGTCTTGTGCCGACATGGCACCGAGAGGGCACATCGCTGCCCTTTCACCTGCACTTCCAAATCAGACTCGTCTTCCCCACAGGCAGGCAGTCAGGCAGGCAGTCAGGGGAGCAGGGGAGGGAGGCGCATATGCAGTGGATGCCCTGGCTACTGTGATGTCTCTGCAGGATACCCAGACGTGCCATTTGGAGCGGTGTTCCTGTCGCCCATCTATCACCCGATATTCCATGAAGGCTACGTGTTCAATTTCCCCTACGACACAACGATCCGCCAATTTGCTCGAGCCGTACCCTTGACTTGCCGAGAGGAATTGCCGTATGACTGTAAGTATCGATGCTGTTGGTTGCAGGTGTACGCTCAGCTCTTGCGCCCGACATGGGTCCCAACGCTTTCATTCCGCCGCCACACCAACGATCCCCTTCTATCCCTTATGGGCCTTTCAATCCGGTCCCCGACATCAGACATGGTGCCGTCATCAGAAGGGCCTCAAGACGAAAATCCAATAGCCCGATCCTCACTGGCAGAGGACGTCTCTGGCCGAGCATCTCCGCCTCCTCCTGTCCCTCCCCCCGCAGGGCCGCTCCTTCTCCCGCCCCCCGTGGCTGCCAGCCGGGCGACGTCGATGCAGGGGGCAGGCGAGAAGGTGCCGCAGAGGGCGAATGCCGCTCTGGATCGGTACATGCATCTCGCGGGTCCGGCAGAGGAGGGGCTGACGACGGATCAGGAGGGCAAGGAGCAGGAGGATCCGTACTGGTGGATGTCGGAGCCTCTGATGACTGCTGCGGATGCCAGACACAGGTTAGGTGCGCGGGCGAGTAGGTGGGAGACAGACAGACACGAGATCAACAGCATTAGTGAGGGGGTCTGGTGTGCATGTGTGTGGGTCAGGTATGCGACTCCCCTGCCTCCTTTCGGCGCTCCGTGGCGTCGGGCTGCTCTCAATTCCCTCAAGCTGCCCCTCACTGAGCTGACGGGTCCAAACGGTGTCAGAGAGAAAAGGTCGTCGTCGGCCAGCAGCCAGTCGGCCGTCAAGCGGAGGTCCCGCGTGGTCCAGATACTGCCGCACGACCAAGGCTTCTCCGTGCAGATCCTCCATGTGAGCAGACGGGAGATGTCTCTCTCTGTTGATATCTCATTGATTGACTTGTCCCTTGTCCTTGGTCATTCAGAGGAAGACAGACGATTCGCTTGACGAGAACGAGATGGACTCTGGCATGACCCCCGAAGTGGACGAGGCGACTAAGCGACTGCGGACTCTTGTCGACACCCTTAACTGGCTCGACAGCACCGAGCCCGACCTGCCGCCCCTCCAGACCCTCAAGCAGAAGAGACTCATCAACGACATCGCCGCGTACGCAGAGACCAAAGCCAAGGACGCCAAGCGACGGAGTCAGAGTGCTGGTGGCAGCAGGGCCTCCAGCAAGGAGAGGCCGTCTGCGGCAGGCAAGGAGACCCCTTCGCCGATGCGTGAGTTCCTCATGTCAGAGGGTCTCATGCCCGGAATTCAGCACCGGAGACAGCCGACGGCGCGCGAGCGGCATGATCCGTGGGTGAGGCGACGGTCGAGATGGGATGGGCGGGGCGTGGACAAGGAGGCCGCCATGCTGCTCGTCGGGGAAGCGAAAGCGAAAACGAGTGCCAAGTGAGAGACGTCGATCAGGGGAGGTCGTCACTGGACTGTCTGCTGGGCTTCAATGAAGCGAGGGGAAGTGGGGGAGAGGAGTCGTGGAGAGGGGCACTGCGTGGTGCGTGTGATGTGTGTGCCTGTCCGAGAGACATATCAGTGCACGTCAATAAAGGACATTTCATTCGTTCGTCACAGGCTGTGTCTCTCCCACGCCATGTCTGTCGGTGTGATATATATCATTCGGCATGGCGTGGCGTGGCGGGGCCTGCAGTGGAGTCTGTCGGTCGACCACACGACTGGTCCTATCGATCTGTCCTCTCTCTGAAGCTCGCTCACCCTCCTACGCGCAAAACGGGTGAGACGTCAGCCAGCCACTGCTGGCTGCTGCTCAGACTCAGACGGACAACCCGGGCAGGAGAGTAAGGAGTGGACACACTGGCAGACAGACGGGCAGACGGGCAGGCGTCAGGTCAGGTGGGCAGACCATCCATCCATCCACTCGCTCATGCATCCATGCCATCCATCCATCCACTCGCTCATGCATCCATGCAGGAAAAAATTAAAGGCGATATGTGGCTGCTGCTGCTAGTGTGGTGTGGTGGGGGTGATGTGGTGAGGTGGTGACTATCTCATATCATGCGTGTGGGGGAGATCGCCCGGCTGCGGGTCATCTGCAGGGAACCACGACGAAGAGAGGCGGCGGTGCAGGTGGGACAGACACGTGGACTCGGTGTTTGGCAGTGTCTCACCCTCATGTTGTTCAAGGGGCGCGGGGCAAGGGGCTCCCTGAGGACATCAACCACATCACACAAAACGCACAAACAGGCACGCTCTCACAGTGCTCCATCTCTCCCTCCCTCCCTCCCTCCTTGCTGAAGAGCCTACGCCTTGCTCGAGGGTCGCTGGTATGAGGGACCTGGTCAATCAATCACCGAGAAGCCAGCCAGTGTGTGTGTGTGTGTGTGATGTCACTGCACCACCGTTGAGACACTGACCCTTGGGAGGTTTGGGCGCCTTAGGGGGCAGGCCCGACTTGGCCGCCTTCTGGCGCTTGGCCGCCGTCTCCTCCCGAACCTTCAAAGCAGCCAACTCGTCAGCAGTCATCGATACGATCACTGGCACAAACAGAGAGAGAAAGAGACAGAGAGACACGAGCGGTCCATACGCACGTGAGATGACGCGTGAGTCTTACTCACTGGGGTCATATATGCTGCGCATTCCCTCCCCAAGCCCACCACCGGCAGCAGCCCCAGCACCAGCACCAGCAATCTCCACACAAGCAGGCGACGACATGCGGCTGTCACCCCTCTCATAAGCGACCCCTTGCTAGGTGTGGCAGCCCCGCCACCCAGCGCACCCGCAGCCCTCTCCAAATCGAACGCGACGGGCGTCAAAGCCCCGAACACAGGCGACTGTCGCACCTTGGGGCGCACCGAGACAGCGGTGCCTTCGGAGCGCCTGTTCCTCACGGGAACGGCCTTGGGTTCCACAGACATGGCGCGACGGTAGGCAACACCTCCACAGGGCGAGTACAAACCCGGGATATAGCGATTCTCACTCACAATCTTGACCACAGACTCTGCACAGACACAGAGACACACAAAAATTGCGAACTTGGGGGTGAATTGATGAGTTCTTCCACGGTTCCTGGCTTCCGTGAGGCTTGTGAGCCTATCTCTCATCCCACTCCATTCGTCTGAGTCCCATTCTGACTTCCTGTCCTTCTCCAAGCTCACTGCAGTGAGACGCATGCACCGTGCTGACCCTTTTTCTGCTGCTCCTCCTGCGCAGCGATGACAATAGGGGCCGGGCGGACCTCAACTACCCCAATGACATCCTTGGTGCGGTAGAAGGGCTCATAGGTCCCGGTGCGGGGTGGCGTGGCTCTCATGCGAGCAGACATACTCATATTACCGCGGCTGCCACTGTCAGGCTGAGCTGAGTCACGCTTCCTTTGGGGACGCTCCATTGGATGAGAACGAGTGGCAGTAATGAGGTAGAACGCCGAACGACAAGTGAGACGGCGCCTAGATCGCTCGCCTGTAAACACATGCATCTTTCCTCCATTCCATCTGCAGCCGACAAGACTTCGTTTGCAGACAACACTCGTCGTCCCAAGATTTAATGCACTGTCAGCCACGTCACGCTGCTGAAGCGTCGCTCACTTTGCCTCAGATCGACACATGCAGCCATTGATGGATCTCCCTCCCACCACGTCTATCTAACAGGTGGGCTGGTGGTTCGGAGGAAATGAACCATTTCCCCGGTTGGCACTTTGCGGCCCTCCTCCTCAGCCCGCTGCCTGTACGTCACCGCATCAGCCTGTAAACCTGAGCAGCAACCAACACATACACGCACGAAGAGGGAGGCGGGAGGATGGAATGATCAGATCTTATAGTTGGATTGCGTGTGACTGCAAATCTTGCTCACCCTTCTCTCCGATGGTGATTCGGTGTGGGATGCCTATCAGGTCCATGTCGGCAAACATCACACCTGCACACACACAGACGCACCCACACACACATGGCAGGCAGGCGTGAAATTCTCTGTTCTGTTTGCCGGTCTTTCGTCGCGCCTACCCGGTCTCTCTTTACGATCGTCCAGCAACACTTCATACCCCTCGTCGACCAAGGCCTGGGAAACCGAGAAGTCAAGCGTAGTGTGGAGTTTGCCGTCAGTCAGAGGGGTGGATGGGTTTGCTCACCTGCATCAGCCGGTCTGCCTCCTCACGGACCGCGGCTGACTTGGCGTAATTGATCGGCACGATGCCCACCTGCCGGTGGAGGGTCACTCAGACCATGAGCAGTTCGCTGGCCATCTTATCACCTGGAAAGGTGCGATTGCCTCCGGCCACATGGTGCCCTTCTCATCGTGGTGCTGCTCGATGGCCGCTGCCACCACCCTGACACACACAGCACTCCATGACACACGCCCCAGTACATTAGTTCGTTCAGCTGCCTGACCTACCTGGTGATCCCGATGCCGTAGCACCCCATGGCGAGTGTGACGGCTTTGCCGTTCTCGTCCAGCACTGTCGCCCCCATTGGCTCGCTGTACTTGCGGCCCAACTGGAAGATGTGACCCACCTCTATCCCACGAACTATTGACAACCTCCCCACACCGTCGGGACTACACACAGAGCACACAGCCACAACGGACAGACAGAGCATTGCAATGCGCCGCCCTTGCTTCCATGAACCTCGGGTCTCCGTCCACGACGTTCCTCAGGTCTGCGACGGCAGCAGGCATCGGGCAGTCGCGGCCCCAGTGGACGTGTCGGTAGTGCCGCCCCTCCTGGTTGGCGCCACACACAAAGTCGCACAGAGGGGTGGCACTAGCATCCACAACCACAGGCACGTCTGGCGGCAGGTCGACTGGACCGACGTAGCCCGCGGGAAGGCCGCTACCTGGTCGAGCATGGTTCATGGCAGACAGATAGTTGAAAAGCCGTCACGTGTCTGTGTGGTCTGAGTATGTCCGTCTTGTCTTACTTGCCAGTGTGGCTGCGTTTGCCAGGGTGAGTGGCGACTTGACGAGGTCAAGCTTCCCCGCCTTGACCTCGTTCAGGTCATGGTCGCCCCTGATCCCCACACACAAGGAAGGACACGTAAAGATCAACATGACATTCTGGCTGTCTCTCTCTCTGTGTGTGCGTGTGTGCATACCTGAGGAAGAGCGCGACGACAGGATGGTCATCACTCGCACCCTCCACCAGCACCCCCTGACAGCACAAGCAATGAGGCAATGCCCATGGCCACGACACATTTCTCTGATGAGGGACGGACCTTCAGTATGTTGTGTGTCGGCACATCCAGCAAAGCTGCAACTTCCTCGATCGAAGTCGCACCCGGCGTCTCGACAGACTCAATAGCCTGCAGAGGGATGCCCAAGCGAACAGACAAGCAGTGCCTGGTATGTTGTGCAATCGTGTGTTTGCATGCCCCACCCACCTGGTCCCCATCTGATGGTGCTGCGGGTGATGGGTCATGTGGTGGAAGCGCCTCAGCGAACTCTATGTTGGCAGCGAAGGGGCCGCTGTCACTGATGGGAGGCATGATTGAACGAACACACACGCGACGCGTTGGTTGGTTGGTCGGTCGTGAGTGTCATGTATGCGGCAAGCCTTACCTGACGGCGATGGCGTCTTCGCCCGACTCGGCCAGCACCTGGAACTCATGTGACACACTCCCACCGATCGCTCCTGCAACCACACACAACGCAAAGACACACACATCATGTGCACGCCAACCATGGCTGCCGTGCCCTACCAACCTGAGTCCGCCTGCACAGCCCTGAAGTCGAGCCCCAGCCGAGTGAAGATGCGGTTGTATGTCGTGTGCATCGCCTGCACAGACGGACAGGCAGACCCTTTTCCGAACAGCCGTCACATCACGCCTTCTCGTTTCTTGCTCACATCGTATGTTTCGCTGAGCGAGCCGTCGTCGATGTGAAACGAGTATGCGTCCTGCACACAAGGAGGGTATCTGCCGGCGCATGTGTGTGCTGTACGTCACCACGTGTCATCTGACCTTCATGATGAACTCCCTCGCTCGCATGACGCCAAACCGAGGCCGAATCTCGTCACGGAACTTGGTCTGCACGAGGAGCACGGCACCACACGTGAGCTCTGGTTAGCAGAATTTCTCCTCTCCCGACCTGTATTTGGTATAGGTTCATGGGCAGCTGCTTGTAGCTGGACACGTCCCGACGAACCAGCTCCGTGATGACCTCCTCGTGGGTCGGCCTGAGAGCAAGAAAGGGGAAAATGGGCTACCCCTCCCTCCCTCCCTCCCTCCCTCCCTCCCCCTCTATCAATCTTGCTCTGGCTGGCTGGTTGCAGTCACCCGAGGGCAAATTCTGCCTGGTGTCTGTCTTTGACCCTCATGAGCTCTGGCCCGTATTCGCTCCAGCGACCGCTCTCCTCCCACAACCGACTCGGCTGACCAAACGCAGACACAGACACCCGCATTGACAGGTGGACAAAGGCGCGCTTGACAACTGTAGATTCGACTGATGCGTACCTGCACAACCGGCAGGAAGGCCTCCAGCGCCCCTGACCTGCACACATGGATGGAGGCCACACACAGGCACGTCACGTCGCCGTGTCGCATACGGCCGTACTCTCGTGACCTATTTACCTGTCCATCTCTTCTCTGACGATCCGCGTCACCTTCTGCACGACACGCCAACCCAGCGGCAGCCACGAGTACACACCTGCAGACATCAAGCCAACAGAAGAAATACAACATTTTGCTTCTGACGGCGGTCAGGTTGCCGCTGTAGTTACCCGATGCGAGCCTCCTGATCATTCCTGCCTTGATCATCAGCCTGTGGCTGGCTATCTCGGCATCGGCGGGGTCCTCCTTGAGCGTGTGCAGGGGATACCCACTCGTCCGCCAACCCTAGCAGCAGATCAGAGAACAACATCCACTCAGGGTCATCCCCCATGTGTTGTGCTGAGGGCAGGGCTACCTTTCCATTTGCAGAGGGGCTGCTTGGCTGGTCCGTCCTGGATGCCGCAGCTTCCTCTTCCGCAACAGCCGAGGACACAACGTCCTGATTCACCGCAACAGAGCTGAGCCTCCCCTCACTCCGAGAAGCCTTCCGTGCCCTCCTCTTGACGCTGGGCCACCATGCACTGCCCCGAAGCGACGACAGGCCATCGGAGGGCTGGATGTAGCCCAGGCGGAGAAGCGATGAGTGGATGGAGGAGGGCAGATCGAGGGAGATCTGCAGCGCTGATGCGACGAAGGCGACCAACAGGATGAGGAGGTGCTGCAGCCGCCGCCTTTGATGAGTCATCAGGCCTCAGATCTCCCAATTCGTTGCCGAAAACAGTGTCAGTCGATGCCAGCCTGCAGAAAAGAGAGAATAAGTTGCACACGTTGTGTGTACATGCAAGGCAGTTTTGTGTGTGCTGTGTCCTTCTCCTTGCCTTTCCTCTCCCTCTTCCTGCTTCGGATGCGAGCTTAGCTTTCCATAACTATACCTACCAACTCTCTTTATCGGCACCGGCCCGGCCTGGAAGGAAGGAGGGCTGTGTGGGACTTCTCATCCTCTGCCACAAGAGGTGCTGCTCGAGGTTGAGGGGGGGTGCCCTTGCCGTGTGGATGCTCGAAGATCTGTGACGGTCTCTCATCGGGCGATGGACAAGCAGTCGATGCTGGTGGGAGACGGTCGACAGCAGCCCGCTGACACGGATTACCAACCCCCTGAAGCCTCATCTCTTATTCCTGCCAGCCTCAGTGAGACCGCAGATCAGCCGGAGAACAGGCGACACGCAAGACTTTTGTTTGTGGATGCTGTTTGTCTGTCTGTGCAGCTCATGGTTGTGTGGATCCATCAGCAGAGATTCACGAGAAAGGGCAGCAGACGCAGCAAGACCACAGAAACCATCACGGCGCAGCAGACTCTCCCCTGTCGGCGCCAATTTGGCCGGCACCGTTGCCTCCGTCTGGCTTATCGTGGGGCAAAGGGAAGCGATCCAAGCCTCCTGCCACTACATTGATGGTGGCCAAAAAGGCTCGCAGTGCTTCAAAGTGAGAGCGATAAGGGAGAGGGTTGACGGATGGATGGCGGCTGATGGAATGTCTCATCATGCCTGTGCATGTGCTGTTTTGTCAGTGCTGGTCACATGAAGCCATCCATGCGCAGCAGCCTTGCAAACCATCCACTTCATCCACCGCAGCAACTCATCAAGAAGGAAGGAGTAGGCGCACACACGATGGCACGGTCCTTCACCGTATGCGGCTGCATGCTTGGTGCAGAAAATGGACCGTCAATTGTCGCAGCAGCTGAGCAGCCCGCCCGTTGTTTGCCTGTTTGGAGCGTCACAGTTCTGCGTCCACCCTCAATGTGACAGCAAGGAGGGGCCACCATGGACGACCAGTTGTCTTTCTTTGCTCTCCTTCCTTCTGATCAGGCATCCTCAACTCATCTTCGAGTCATGTCAAGGTACGTGTCAATCAGACTTGACCCGTCGACTTGACTGTGGTGTTTCGTGCAGATGGAGGTTGGCCACCTCCCGGTAGGTGGGCGTCCCCCTGGTCCGTCCTCTCAACTGAAGTCGCCCGTCGACGTCTTGCCACGGGCTGGTCTCACCAACCTGCCACATCAGCAGCTGATGCCGTTGATCAAGCAGGAAGAGGTACGCACTCACAGAGAGTGCCATACATCGCTGATATAATGGGCCCATCTCTGTTGCAGGCGATGGACGATGAGCCGTCGCAGGCTGGACGGCCGAGCAACCTGCCCACCTCTGGCGCGTCTGGCGCGTCGCATTTTTGTCTCTCTCCTCCAAGTAAGGCATCCCTCCACAAGCACATTGGCACAATCAGCAGACGGGGAGGGGTGGAAACGGACGATTCATCCTCTGTGTCTTTGTGTCTGTTCGTTACGCCTCAGGCATCATCAAGGCGCTGCGGGACAACTGGGACAGGTGTGACCTCGACCGCCCCCGATCCACCACTTCCGTCGACCCCTGTGACTTGAGCACGCCACCCGAGGCGCGTCAAGTGTGGCTCAAGCCCAACGGTGAGTGGCTGCCCCGCGGCTGTGACATCGCCCTGCTGCCCGCGGGACAAGACGGTGGCCACGTGCGTCTTCCACGTCAATGGCGTCATGTGCGGCAAGCAGAACACATTCAGGAACATGGTCAACTCACACCTTCGCAAGACACACAAACTCCTTGCGAAGCCGAAAAAGGTGAGATAGCAAGTGTGTACATCCACAACCAGCCAGAGACGACAGATGAATGCTCTGTGGATGTTTTGCAGCGTGGCACGATCTCTCCGACGGAGCCAGAGACGGCGCCAGAGGTACTACATGGGTGTCACATTCAAGAAACCACCATGTGTCTGGTGCAGTTCATAGAAGACGGAGGACTGGAGGAGAGCGAGGAGACCACCACCGTTCAGCTCCCTCACGACCCAGGCACAGCACACAAGACACTGCCTGTGCAGTCTGGACGTATTGTCATCTCCTTGATTCAGATACTCATGCACTCGCCCCTGTTGCCCCACTTGAGGACGCCCACTCATATGCTGGCCCGACCCCCTTCCCACCTGTGCATCCGCAAGTCGAGACGTCTGTCAATGCAGGTCAGCGGACCAGGCTTCACCTGCTTATCTGCATGAAGCCACGCTCACACATTCTTCGGCCTTTGTGTGGTGCAGGACTGCTGGCCTTCACTGACTTCGACCGTTTCTCTGACTTCCCAGCCCCACACGACCAGGTGAGTGCGCAAGCAAGGGAGGTAACGTTGGCTCTTGGTTGTTCTTTGTTAGATCCATGTGCTGGAAGAGGGTGATGGCGTGCAAGTGGCATGGTTAGGAGGCATGTGACAGCAACGTGGATCGGTGCGATGGTCATTTGTCATGTGTGCACAGGGATGTGTCCGACGGACCGAGCAGAAACATCGGATGGTTTGACGGAGAGGTGCTTCGAGTCGAGGAAACCCAGTTCCACGTAGGGAGACGGAAGTCACGCAGAGAGGCGACAGTGACACATGTACACGTGTCTCGGTGTACTTTTGCGGCTGTAAAAGGTGGAGTACTTCGTGTGCGGCAAGCGGTTGAAGTACTGGTTTGATTCCCGTATCTTCATCAACATGGAAGGTGCGACATGTGACGAGACCTGCATCCACATGAATGATGGTCCTCGACTGCGTATGCAGGTCTGCATTCCATCGAATCGCTTGTGCAGCACACACGGAGAGGCGCGGTCCGCAGGAGGCCTCAGCGATGGCTCACTCCACAGGCTGACCAAGCTTGGACATTGCAGAAAGGTGGAGAAGGTAAAGGGGTCTTGTCTCGATCTCATTTCGATGTTTCTTGATACCAGGGGCTGTCGTCTCTGTTGTCCAAGAGGGCGATCGCCTTGAGCACCATGACGCCGTTGTGCGTGAATGCTGGTTTTTTCCTGGGGGGTCTCGCAAGGTACTCGTACACGCGTGCAGGTAGCCATGCATCAGGTATTCGTATCCGTGTTCGGCTGCACAGGCCACGGTGCGGTATCTTGTCAGCGGTGAGGAGGAGTTGCTGCCCACGGAGGTATGTGCTCCAAGACGAAGCGTCCTATCGGAAACTTACTTGTGCTCTGTGTCTCCTTCTCCGCTGGTGCGATACAAGCTCGGGCTTTCGATGTCATCCAACGTGCAATCGACCACGGGATCCCTGCCTCACTCATTCAGACGATTCCCAAGTGAGCGGATGGATCTGTCAAACGATTACTTGATTGCTTGCCTTCGTTTGGCTTCCATTTCGAAACTGACGACACTTGGCTGCAAGTTATTGGCAAGAAAGAGGAGGAATCGATTGACTGACCGCGGCGGGCAGGTCGGGCAGCTCAGGGGAGAGAGACGCAGTCGAGAGGGGGAGGGGAAGTGCATGCAGTCGAGCGACGGGAAGGGCGACAAGTAGTGCCTTAGGGAGTGGGAGTGTGTCTCGGTAGTTTTTTACTACTTGTAGAGAGCCGGCTGCCTCTTTTTTGGCTGCCATGGCTGCTGAGTAGAGGGAGAATTCTTCCGTTTTGTGGGTTGCTTCCATGCCTGGTTTGTGTAATCAGAGAGAGGTAGGCTTGTGCCCAGTGTGCGTAGGAGAGAAGAGCGAGAGCCGTCATCAATTACGAGAGTGATAGAGATAGAGGGTGCGAATTTGTTGTTCATGTGTGCGTGAACGAGGGGCCACGGGGCCACATGCCTCTGCTCGCATTTTTCAGACACCAACGCGCAGACTTGTACACGTATGAGATCATTTTTCCATGACACATGTGCACATGTGTATGGTGAAAGCATTGTCGGACATGCATATTGAGTCTCTGGTCGTTTCAGCAGATTCATGCATCCCATCCCTTCCATTCATACCACTGCAGAGCACTGTGCATTGGGAGAACCATCCCATGACGCATACATACATTCCTCATACTGCTCTCCCTCTATGCTAATGACCTGATCATTCGACAGCAGCAACACCTCCTCCTCACCCGCACATCCCTTGGCAGGGGCCATATACACCCGCACGTTCTGACCAGCACAGTCGCTGGCAATCATGAGCTTGCCGAGGTCCACGATGAGAGTGACCACGATCGCCGGGCTGCCGGTCTTGCGGCTTTTGAGCTTCGCGAACCTTGTGGCTTTTCTCATGTCGTTGGTGACATAGATGCCGACCCCTCGCCATTGCAAGTCGTCATCAGCAGCACAAGACGGGTTAAATCCGACTGCACACACTCACAGGAGAACAAAGCTAATGAGCTGCAATAGCGGCATTGGAAGCTGGATACAGACCCTACCTGCCCGAATTCTGTCTGCCGAGGCTTTGTCCGTCCCGTGAAGCACTCTCCGATGTGATTGTGACGTCCCCGTTCCGTCACAGACATCGCATGGAGACACGCAGCTCTGATCGTTGACGACGCACATGGTGTGCCCCGCCTGACATGCGCACGCACATTCCTTTGTCTGTCTGTCTGTCACTTATTGACAATGCGTGAGCATGCTTTTGCCTGACCTCTGTCTGCTGTGGCATCTCTTCTGTTGTTGCGCAAGTCGATAGGGTACTGATTGAGCAGTCATCATCCTGACGACACAACAGACAGAGAGCGACCAGAGGTGTGGTCTACACAGCAATCGTGCTGTTGCTCCATTCCATACATCTGGTATGTCACTCAGCCGCTCATCGCCAGTGATGTTGACGGCAGAATTCACCGACGAACGAGACCATACCTGCACACACCGCACTCGAACGAGATCACACGTGCATCACACCAAGTCCGTGTGCAGGTCCGCTCACCACAGATGGGGGGTCCTCTCGGTGGCTGCGTGTGGGCGTCTTGTGGATCTTGTTCGGCGGTCTCTCGTTGGTCAGTCGACTCTTAGACGGTGCAATCTGGATGACAGCAGGGACAATCAAATGCAACGCCCCTTCGCCATGGCTTACGCTCATCGTGTTGCAGCCCTCAGACCACCACTGCTCAGACAGCTGGTCAAGCACTTGGCCCTGCAATCAGAGGCAATGCCCCTTCGCGAAGAGATGAGTGAGCTCTCTTTGCTTGCTTACGGTCATGGTGTTGGGCCACGAGTGCTGCGATTGCTGGTCGAGCGGCTGATTGCTGTCACGGCTGATGAATCCATCTGCCATTCGCACCGCAGCTGCCTCGTCAACCACTTGGTCCTGCAAGACACCACTTGGTCCATCTATGCGTGTCCTGACCCAGAGGGGCGTGGGCAAGGGGTGGGGGTGGGGGGGATGCATTGGGGGCGCTGGAGAAGGGAGAGGAGCCGGTATGACAACCTGCTCAGTGGCTGCTGACGGCTGAGACTGCTGATTGCTGTCACCAGTGTGTGTTACGCCGTCGTGTCTCACTGCTATCGCCAACCCGACGGCGCTTGGAGGAGAGGCGGCAGCAGAAGACATGGGTCGCCCTGGCTGGTCGGTGAGGGGAATGGGCACGGAATGGGGGTGAGGTGGGTGGG